AAGCACAGCAACCAGACCGACACCCTCCAGGGAGTCCTCTGTGCACCTGGGCAACACACAGCTGGACCCAGAGTCCTCAGGGCAGGGACCTTTGGGGCAGCTGGTTCTCCAGTTCCAGTCACAAGGAGAGGTGGCTGAGACCTCTGCATCTGCTTGGAGTGGACGGGCTCCTGTCTTACCTCCCTGTTGGGGGCACAAGAGGCCATCGGCCATCTGACACTCAGAAACTGAGAGAATTCAGCTCGGGGATCTTCGCTGCACCTTCTTCACAAAGGTTCTCCAGGAGAACCTCTCCCGGTTCCCATTGGTCTTCCTCTGAACAGACAGTGTGGTTGAGTAAAGCTCTATATTTGCTCCATAATGATGGAAGAAGTTCTGTGTCTGTTGTCCCTTATACCAATTTTGTCATCTTTTCAATAAAAGTGTGCATAAATGCCAATGAGTTTTTGTGTCAGTGTGAGTGTGTGGGGTGGGAGGGAAGGGAATGGACGTGTCTCGGGAAGGGCGTGAGTTCGAGCTGCTGTGCAGCTGGATGTGGGTGTCAGCTGGGTTTGGGCGGCAGGAGAAACCAGAGATGGCCTTCAGGCAGGGCAGTTAGTTATGGAACCCAGTCATTCAGCAGAACACTGCCCCCTGCAGGCCGGCCAGTCAGTCTTAGATCTGGCAGGTAGGGCAGCAGGGGGAGAGGGTGGATTAGAAAAACACAACTGAGAGAGAGCGTCTCCCCGCAGGCCTGTGATAAGCTTTCCCCAGCGCTACCTGAGGGCCCTCCAAGCATCTTCAGGGTGCTCTGCCATGTCCACCGGCGCTCACTGGACAGGCCTCTCCACCAGGGAGTACACATTTCAGCTCCTTGTTCGCTGTCACCTGATCTTACAGGAAGTCCAAGGAAGAGCTGCCTTTGGTTCAAGGGGATCCACTTTGGGGAGCGGGTGATTCCAGGCACAATCGCGCCCCACACATGGTGACACCTGCCACCGGGCCTGGGAGACCTGGCATTGAAGCCCTGGCCCCTGGCATGGTGTCTCGGTTGGAATGTTTCCTGCCTCTGTCTTTCAGAAGTTGGTAGATCACTACACCCTCATCGTCATGATGAAGAAGACAGAGTGCAATGATCCTATGGACCTCGTCAGTGTCTTTCACGAACGCTGTTTACCAGGCTCAAACCAGGCTCAATGGGAACTCAGAACACATCACCATGACTTTCTTCTAGACAGACTGGGGGACAAGATTTTCTGCACAACTCGCTCTGAGGTCCTTGAAAGCTCATGCTTTTCTCCCTGTAACATGTTCCCAAACCCTCTCTCTTATCTCTGTCCTAAGAGGCCCCAGCACCCGTACATCCTCTGTGCCACCTGCAGTGACCTGAGGATGCGGGACATCAGCACTGGCCTTTCCATGGCAAACTGCAAAAGCGTTGTTCCCGCCCGCCTGCCAGACCACAGGGATGACTGTCTGTCTTGTTATTTCAGTCAACTCCATGCCATGCAGCTAAGGCTTGCAGGCTGGATCCCTGGTCGGGGCGCATAGCGAGGCTGAGGGTTCCGTCCCGGTCCTGAAGCACACGGGAGGCCACTGACCCATGCTTCTCTGTCACATCAGTGATTCTCCCTCTCTTCCCCTCTCTCACACACACACACACACACACACACACACACACACACAGGAAATCATGCTTGCAAACTCTTGGAATTACTGGACTTTCTTACACTGAAGATTCCTGTGTGACCACTGAAACCGGACTGGACGGCCCTGGCACGGTGCCCACAGACTGTCTGGGTGTGTGAAGAGCATGTCAGAAAGCAGAACTGCACTGTGGCTTTCACTCAGGAAGGGAGTCAATTCACCAAGAGGAAACACACACAAGAGAAAATTCTGCCTTTGTTACTCATTGAAGTTACCTTTCTATCCATGATCATAGGACTACCTTTGAAATGAAGATGATAATCAATGGAATCATGTTTGTAATTACAATTTACATTCCCTAAGGAAATATCTGATTACTTGGCCTTTGTGTTCCAATGTCATCATAAAAGCTACCTCGTCAGATGTTGTGTTTCAGCTCTAACCCTCGGGTCAAAATAGAGGGACAGCAGAGACGAGGTAACGAGCTGAGTGTCACCTGTGTGCCAATGATGGACCACACTTGTGCCCAAACAGTTGGCATCTGGACCCCAGGACTGGAATCCCTCCCCAGCACACATGCCGACTGAAATCCCGAAGACACTGCACATGGAAACCAGAAGGCGGAAAAGCAGCCTGTGAGCCTGCCCCCTGTCCCTGAGCAGCAGGGCGGCTCCCTGTGAAGATGGCCTCTCCTGCCTCTGGCCATCGGGCTGAATGCCCGTGGCAGGTGCCAAGCAGAAGGGCTGTGAGGGGCCATGAACGTAAGGCCACCTGGAAGTGTCAGGCACAAAGCATGTTTCTTTGACAGAAGATAACCTTCCCAAACGCACTTCTGGGCCCATCCCTTCCAACGGGGGATTCTTTTAAAACATAGAAACAGTCTTTCATCCTGTCAACAAACAAAGTCAAATCCAATTGGGATAACTCCATCCAGGATGATTGGATTTCCCTTAATCTCCTTAGGTCCTGTCTTCTAAAGCCATTTGCACCACCAGAAGTGGTCCCCACCCAGGCTTAATCCCCTCTGGCAGGAGGATATAAGAACCCAGGACAGAGGTGTTCCAGGAAGGGTCAGCTGGAAACCTCGCTGCTGTCATGGCCGGGTCCCAGGGGCACAGCCTTCCCCTCTGTGTGCGCCAGGCCTGGGATTCCCTGGACAAGTCGCTGGATCAAGAACCGTTTCTGGTCTGGAGCCTGGAGGAGGAGGAAGGCAAGCCCTGGCCACTCCCTCTCTACCCTGAACTGGACCACCTCACCTGGGGCGACCAGGGAGTGGACCAGGAAGTGCATTCGAGTCCCTGCGGGCTCCTGCAGCCCTTCTGCCCGCGACACGGACCCAGGGGAGAGAGCACCTGCAGGCGGGACGCTGGGCGGCCTGATCCGGACCTCACACCAGAGATGGAGGAGTCAGAGATGCCCCCAGTAGTGAAGGCCGCCGTACTCTGGTTGTCATCGGGGTCCGAAGTCTCCACCGAGATGGAGCAGCACTTTCTCGACTACGGGAAGTCGGCTTGGGACGCCGTTGACCGGGCGCCGCGGCCCAGGCCTCCGTCGTTGCTGATCTCCGAAGACTCGGGACCGTGGCCGCTGCCCTTCTACGCGGTACTGGGAGAGTCCGCGGGCAACTACGACCCGTACCGCGGGCAACTGCTTTGCAGTCCTTGTTGGCAGCTGCCCTCGGTCTACGGCACGTACAGACTCTTGACCGCGGCCCAGAGCTCCTGGGGAGCAAGCCCAGCGCAGGCCAGTCTGGGTCCCTCGCCAGAGACGCCAGAGACGCCAGAGACGCCAGAGACGCCAGAGACGCCAGAGACGCCAGAGAGCCCAGCGGAACCCGCCCGAGAGCCTGAGCCGGCAGAAGAAACCCCTTCCCCGGGGCCTGCCCAGGAGCCGTGGCCCAGCGCCCGAGACGGACAGCAGATGGCGGAGAAGTTTGAAGGCCCGCGCCCTGCAGAGCGCCGCCCACCGCGGGCTCCAGCCGCACGGTGCCCGCACCCCGATTTCTCTGGCTGCCTGCGGTGGGTCCGTCGCGCCGTCTGCTCCCTGAGCCGCGCGGCTGCGGGCTGCTGCGGCGTCTTCCTGGACCTTAAAGGGCCCTGAGACTGCGGCGAGAGGGAGCCCTGCGGGAGGGGGGGAGGGGGCGCCCGGGCTGAAAGAATCTCCTTTTGCAATAAAACTGGCCGGGGGGTGGGTGTGGGTGGGAGAAATAGATAATAAAAAAATGTACTTGAAAAGTAACTAAATAAAATTTATTATAAAAAAAACAAAAACAAAAAAAAAATGCCCGAAGTTCCTTCGGTGTCCCCTGTCAGTTGTCGCCTCTTTCTCCTGGCAGCCCTGGTCCCCGCCAGTGGCTCGCTCGTTCCCACCTCCACGCTTCTTGCTTTTACTTCCGGGCTTTTGCTTTCACTGTTTCTTTCTGGCTGAACCCGGCTGACAGTTCCTCGTAGTAGCCGACGCTGTAAATGGTGGAGTGTTACCCACGGACACGACTGCTCACAGGTACGAGGTTAGAGCGGGTTGACTCCGTTCTCAACGCGGCGCTTTTGGCTGATGGAGAATGGCCGTCTGTCGGCTCTCTGGCACCATGGCCGGATCCCAGGGAGCTGATCTCTCCATCTCTCTCCAGCAACGTCTGTGGTGGCAGAGCTGTAGACTGGGGGCTGTGTGCCTATTCGTGGAGACCCTTGGTGGCCTCCCCTCCCTGCTCCACCAGCAGCTTTCCCGGCTCTGCGGGGCTGGTGCTGTGTCCTGTGAGTTAATGGGTGGGGCAGCCTCCCTGGGACCCAGTGCTTGTCCCCTGCTCTGTGCTCCATTAATGCCAACGAAATTGTGTCCGGCCATTTCTTGATGTGGACGTTGTCGTTGGGGAGGCTCCATGTGCCATTACCGGGCGTGGGACCACTGTACCTCTGTGGCCTCTGGGCTGGCTGGGCCCATCGCAGAGCAAGTGTTTCTAGAATTTCTCTCCAGCAACGTCCCTGTGGGCGCTAATTTCAGGGAGATACGTGGGTTCGTCCTCTCCGGCAGCCTAACTGGTCTCTCTCCCTGCCACAGGGTCCCTTCTCTCTGTGCTTTGCTACTGGCTCTCCCTCCCCGTCCTGTGCTGAGGATTGCCCGTTGTTCTGTCCCTATCGTCCGGTATTTCTTTCCGCTCTACACATCGACGCTTGATTCCTTAGCTGTGCGTATTGCGTAATACCGCTCAGAAAGCGCGGGCTCCTTTTATTTTTATCTTTTCCTTTAATTTTAGGCCTGCATTCGCCTAGCACCCAGGAGAGCCTAAGTAGCCAGGCTGCGGGCACAGCCGCGGCCTTTGTCTCCTGCATCAGCTCAGACGCTGGTTGTCCTCGGGGTCCGAAGTCTCCGCCGAGATGGAGCAGCACTTTCTCGACTACGGGAAGTCGGCTTGGGACGCCGTTGACCGGGCGCCGCGGCCCAGGCCTCCGTCGTTGCTGATCTCCGAAGACTCGGGACCGTGGCCGCTGCCCTTCTACCCGGTACTGGGAGAGTCCGCGGGCAACTACGACGCGTACGGCGGGCAACTGCTTTGCAGTCCTTGTTGGCGGCTGCCCTCGGTCTAGGGCACGTACAGACTCTTGACCGCGGCCCAGAGCTCCTAGGAGGGAAGCCCAGCCCAGGCCAGTCTGGGTCCCTCGCCAGAGACGCCAGAGACGCCAGAGACGCCAGAGACGCCAGAGAGCCCAGCGGAACCCGCCCGAGAGCCTGAGCCGGCAGAAGAAACCCCTTCCCCGGGGCCTGCCCAGGAGCCGTGGCCCAGCGCCCGAGACGGACAGCAGATGGCGGAGAAGTTTGAAGGCCCGCGCCCTGCAGAGCGCCGCCCACCGCGGGCTCCAGCCGCACGGTGCCCGCACCCCGATTTCTCTGGCTGCCTGCGGTGGGTCCGTCGCGCCGTCTGCTCCCTGAGCCGCGCGGCTGCGGGCTGCTGCGGGGTCTTCCTGGACCTTAAAGGGCCCTGAGACTGCGGCGAGAGGGAGCCCTGGGGGAGGGGGGGGGGGGGGCGCCCGGGGTGAAAGAATCTCCTTTTGCAATAAAACTGGCCGGGGGGGGCGTGGGTGTGGGAGAAATAGATAAAAAAAAATGTACTTGAAAAGTAACTAAATAAAATTTATTATAAGAAAAACAAAAACAAAAACAAAAAAATGCCCGAAGTTCCTTCGGTGTCCCCTGTCAGTTGTCGCCTCTTTCTCCTGGCAGCCCTGGTCTCCGCCAGTGGCTCGCTCGTTCCCACCTCCACGCATCTTGCTTTTACTTAAGGGCTTTTACTTCCACTGTTTCTTACTGGCTGAACCCGGCTGACAGTTCCTCGTTGTAGTCGACACTGTAAATGGTGGGGTGTTACCCAGGGACACGACTGCTCACAGGTACGAGGTTAGAGCGGGTTGACTCCGTTCTCAACGCGGCGCTTTTGGCTGATGGAGAATGGCCGTCTGTCGGCTCTCTGGCACCATGGCCGGATCCCAGGGAGCTGATCTCTCCACCTCTCTCCAGCAACGTCTGTGGTGGCAGAGCTGTAGACTGGGGGCTGTGTGCCTATTCGTGGAGACCCTTGGTGGCCTCCCCTCCCTGCTCCACCAGCAGCTTTCCCGGCTCTGCGGGGCTGGTGCTGTGTCCTGTGAGTTAATGGGTGGGGCAGCCTCCCTGGGACCCAGTGCTTGTCCCCTGCTCTGTGCTCCATTAATGCCAACGAAATTGTGTCCGGCCATTTCTTGATGTGGACGTTGTCGTTGGGGAGGAACTCCATGTGCCATTACTGGGCGTGGGACCACTGTACTGCTGTGGCCTCTGGGCTGGCTGGCCCCATCGCAGAGCAAGTGTTTCTAGAATTTCTCTCCAGCAACGTCCCTGTGGGCGCTAATTTCAGGGAGATACGTGGGTTCGTCCTCTCCGGCAGCCTAACTGGTCTCTCTCCCTGCCACAGGGTCCCTTCTCTCTGTGCTTTGCTACTGGCTCTCCCTCCCCGTCCTGTGCTGAGGATTGCCCGTTGTTCTGTCCCTATCGTCCGGTATTTCTTTCCGCTCTACACATCGACGCTTGATTCCTTAGCTGTGCGTATTGCGTAATACCGCTCAGAAAGCGCGGGCTCCTTTTATTTTTATCTTTTCCTTTAATTTTAGGCCTGCATTCGCCTAGCACCCAGGAGAGCCTAAGTAGCCAGGCTGCGGGCACAGCCGCGGCCTTTGTCTCCTGCATCAGCTCAGACGCTGGTTGTCCTCGGGGTCCGAAGTCTCCGCCGAGATGGAGCAGCACTTTCTCGACTACGGGAAGTCGGCTTGGGACGCCGTTGACCGGGCGCCGCGGCCCAGGCCTCCGTCGTTGCTGATCTCCGAAGACTCGGGACCGTGGCCGCTGCCCTTCTACCCGGTACTGGGAGAGTCCGCGGGCAACTACGACGCGTACGGCGGGCAACTGCTTTGCAGTCCTTGTTGGCGGCTGCCCTCGGTCTACGGCACGTACAGACTCTTGACCGCGGCCCAGAGCTCCTGGGAGGGAAGCCCAGCCCAGGCCAGTCTGGGTCCCTCGCCAGAGACGCCAGAGACGCCAGAGACGCCAGAGACGCCAGAGACGCCAGAGAGCCCAGCGGAACCCGCCCGAGAGCCTGAGCCGGCAGAAGAAACCCCTTCCCCGGGGCCGGCCCAGCGCCCGAGACGGACAGCAGATGGCGGAGAAGTTTGAAGGCCCGCGCCCTGCAGAGCGCCGCCCACCGCGGGCTCCAGCCGCACGGTGCCCGCACCCCGATTTCTCTGGCTGCCTGCGGTGGGTCCGTCGCGCCGTCTGCTCCCTGAGCCGCGCGGCTGCGGGCTGCTGCGGCGTCTTCCTGGACCTTAAAGGGCCCTGAGACTGCGGCGAGAGGGAGCCCTGCGGGAGGGGGGGAGGGGGCGCCCGGGCTGAAAGAATCTCCTTTTGCAATAAAACTGGCCGGGGGGGTGGGTGTGGGATGGGAGAAATAGATAGATAAAAAAAATGTACTTGAAAAGTAACTAAATAAAATTTATTATAAAAAAACAAAAACAAAAAAAAAATGCCCGAAGTTCCTTCGGTGTCCCCTGTCAGTTGTCGCCTCTTTCTCCTGGCAGCCCTGGTCCCCGCCAGTGGCTCGCTCGTTCCCACCTCCACGCTTCTTGCTTTTACTTCCGGGCTTTTGCTTTCACTGTTTCTTTCTGGCTGAACCCGGCTGACAGTTCCTCGTAGTAGCCGACGCTGTAAATGGTGGAGTGTTACCCACGGACACGACTGCTCACAGGTACGAGGTTAGAGCGGGTTGACTCCGTTCTCAACGCGGCGCTTTTGGCTGATGGAGAATGGCCGTCTGTCGGCTCTCTGGCACCATGGCCGGATCCCAGGGAGCTGATCTCTCCATCTCTCTCCAGCAACGTCTGTGGTGGCAGAGCTGTAGACTGGGGGCTGTGTGCCTATTCGTGGAGACCCTTGGTGGCCTCCCCTCCCTGCTCCACCAGCAGCTTTCCCGGCTCTGCGGGGCTGGTGCTGTGTCCTGTGAGTTAATGGGTGGGGCAGCCTCCCTGGGACCCAGTGCTTGTCCCCTGCTCTGTGCTCCATTAATGCCAACGAAATTGTGTCCGGCCATTTCTTGATGTGGACGTTGTCGTTGGGGAGGAACTCCATGTGCCATTACCGGGCGTGGGACCACTGTACCTCTGTGGCCTCTGGGCTGGCTGGGCCCATCGCAGAGCAAGTGTTTCTAGAATTTCTCTCCAGCAACGTCCCTGTGGGCACTAATTTCAGGGAGATACGTGGGTTCGTCCTCTCCGGCAGCCTAACTGGTCTCTCTCCCTGCCACAGGGTCCCTTCTCTCTGTGCTTTGCTACTGGCTCTCCCTCCCCGTCCTGTGCTGAGGATTGCCCGTTGTTCTGTCCCTATCGTCCGGTATTTCTTTCCGCTCTACACATCGACGCTTGATTCCTTAGCTGTGCGTATTGCGTAATACCGCTCAGAAAGCGCGGGCTCCTTTTATTTTTATCTTTTCCTTTAATTTTAGGCCTGCATTCGCCTAGCACCCAGGAGAGCCTAAGTAGCCAGGCTGCGGGCACAGCCGCGGCCTTTGTCTCCTGCATCAGCTCAGACGCTGGTTGTCCTCGGGGTCCGAAGTCTCCGCCGAGATGGAGCAGCACTTTCTCGACTACGGGAAGTCGGCTTGGGACGCCGTTGACCGGGCGCCGCGGCCCAGGCCTCCGTCGTTGCTGATCTCCGAAGACTCGGGACCGTGGCCGCTGCCCTTCTACCCGGTACTGGGAGAGTCCGCGGGCAACTACGACGCGTACGGCGGGCAACTGCTTTGCAGTCCTTGTTGGCGGCTGCCCTCGGTCTACGGCACGTACAGACTCTTGACCGCGGCCCAGAGCTCCTAGGAGGGAAGCCCAGCCCAGGCCAGTCTGGGTCCCTCGCCAGAGACGCCAGAGACGCCAGAGACGCCAGCGGAGACGCCAGAGACGCCAGAGACGCCAGAGAGCCCAGCGGAACCCGCCCGAGAGCCTGAGCCGGCAGAAGAAACCCCTTCCCCGGGGCCTGCCCAGGAGCCGTGGCCCAGCGCCCGAGACGGACAGCAGATGGCGGAGAAGTTTGAAGGCCCGCGCCCTGCAGAGCGCCGCCCACCGCGGGCTCCAGCCGCACGGTGCCCGCACCCCGATTTCTCTGGCTGCCTGCGGTGGGTCCGTCGCGCCGTCTGCTCCCTGAGCCGCGCGGCTGCGGGCTGCTGCGGCGTCTTCCTGGACCTTAAAGGGCCCTGAGACTGTGGCGAGAGGGAGCCCTGCGGGAGGGGGGGGAGGGGGCGCCCGGGCTGAAAGAATCTCCTTTTGCAATAAAACTGGCCGGGGGGGTGTGGGTGTGGGAGAAATAGATAATAAAAAAAATGTACTTGAAAAGTAACTAAATAAAATTTATTATAAGAAAAACAAAAACAAAAACAAAAAAATGCCCGAAGTTCCTTCGGTGTCCCCTGTCAGTTGTCGCCTCTTTCTCCTGGCAGCCCTGGTCTCCGCCAGTGGCTCGCTCGTTCCCACCTCCACGCATCTTGCTTTTACTTAAGGGCTTTTACTTCCACTGTTTCTTTCTGGCTGAACCCGGCTGACAGTTCCTCGTTGTAGCCGACACTGTAAATGGTGGGGTGTTACCCAGGGACACGACTGCTCACAGGTACGAGGTTAGAGCGGGTTGACTCCGTTCTCAACGCGGCGCTTTTGGCTGATGGAGAATGGCCGTCTGTCGGCTCTCTGGCACCATGGCCGGATCCCAGGGAGCTGATCTCTCCACCTCTCTCCAGCAACGTCTGTGGTGGCAGAGCTGTAGACTGGGGGCTGTGTGCCTATTCGTGGAGACCCTTGGTGGCCTCCCCTCCCTGCTCCACCAGCAGCTTTCCCGGCTCTGCGGGGCTGGTGCTGTGTCCTGTGAGTTAATGGGTGGGGCAGCCTCCCTGGGACCCAGTGCTTGTCCCCTGCTCTGTGCTCCATTAATGCCAACGAAATTGTGTCCGGCCATTTCTTGATGTGGACGTTGTCGTTGGGGAGGAACTCCATGTGCCATTACTGGGCGTGGGACCACTGTACTGCTGTGGCCTCTGGGCTGGCTGGCCCCATCGCAGAGCAAGTGTTTCTAGAATTTCTCTCCAGCAACGTCCCTGTGGGCGCTAATTTCAGGGAGATACGTGGGTTCGTCCTCTCCGGCAGCCTAACTGGTCTCTCTCCCTGCCACAGGGTCCCTTCTCTCTGTGCTTTGCTACTGGCTCTCCCTCCCCGTCCTGTGCTGAGGATTGCCCGTTGTTCTGTCCCTATCGTCCGGTATTTCTTTCCGCTCTACACATCGACGCTTGATTCCTTAGCTGTGCGTATTGCGTAATACCGCTCAGAAAGCGCGGGCTCCTTTTATTTTTATCTTTTCCTTTAATTTTAGGCCTGCATTCGCCTAGCACCCAGGAGAGCCTAAGTAGCCAGGCTGCGGGCACAGC